ACAGCAGTACACAAGCAGCAGCAGCAGCAGAAACAGGCAAGCAGCGGCAGCAACAACAACAACAACAGCAGCAGCAGCAGCAGCAGCAGCAACAGGCAAGCAACGGCAACAGCAGCAACAGCAGCAGCAGCAGCAGCAGCTCTCCAATGAGTCTCCCCTTGTAAATGCCTCAACGGCTGCTCCGGCCTGCGGTCCAGGCTACGAGGGTTTAGGGTTTAGAAAGGAGGCGTTAGGGTTTAGGGTTTAGAAAGGAGGGTTTAGGGTTTAGGGTTTAGCAAGTAGGACTTGCGGTTTTGGCCGCAGTGTCTAGGGTCTACATCGGGGGGATGAATGTTTAGGGTTTAGGGATTAGGGTTTAGGGTTTAGAGCGTCGGATTTAGGGGTTCGGGCTTAGCGTCTGGAGCTAAGGATTTAGGGTTTACGGCTTCGATCGTAGGGTTTAGGGTTTAGGGCACAGAGCGTAAGGTCTAGGGTTTAGGGTTTAGGGTTTAGTGTGTAGGGCTTAGGGTTTAGGGTTTAGGGTTTGCTTGCCTACAAACACTTCGCTGTCGAGGCCTAAAGCCTCAATGGCCTCAGCCAAGAACTTCTTAAACTCCTCAAGCTCCGCTAACGCCGTCATCTGTGGTTTAGGGTTTAGGGTTTAGGGTTTAGGGTTTAGGGTTTAGAGGCCACAGCCGCAGCTGGGGTTTGGGGTTTAGGGTTTAGCAGTTGTTGCTTTAGAGTTAGGGTTTAGGGTTTAAAGGTTGAGAGAAACACTGCAAATGCCTGTGTGCTGCTGTTGCTGCTGAACCCTAAACCCTAAACCCTAAACCCTAAACCCTAGGGTATAACCATTCAAATGAATCAGCGCAATAAGATCTGTTTAAAACAATTAAAATATATTTATAAAGATCTTCTTCTACTCTAAATGCATGCGCTGCTGGGCCTTCGCTGCAGCCCCAGCAACACTGCAGCGACTTGCTCTGCATGCATTTCAGTGTCTCCTTTGCTTGTCTTTATTATTTTGTTTTTTAATCGCACTTAGTTTATTATTATTATTATTATTATTAATATTATTATTATTCTTTTAAGAGAGGCTGTCTATACAGCGTCATCTAGAGACATCAAACCCCCTTTAACTCTCTCCCCCCAGCAACATCCTACGGGTGGCTAGCTATAGCTAGCTAGCTGTAGCTAGCTAGATGTTGCTAGCTAGCTGTAACTGTCTCCCTGTAACTGGCTGTGTGTAGCTAGCTAGCTGTAACTATTTCCCTGTACCTGGCTATGTGCAGCTAGCTAGTTGTAGGTGGCTTGGCTAGCTAGCTAGACTTTAGCTAGCAAGCTATAGCAAAGTATCTGTAGCTAGCTACGCCTAGCTAGAGACCTGGAGCTAGGTAGTTGTACATAGCTAGCTAGCTGCAGCTAACTAGCCGTCACTAGCTATCTCTTGCTATCTACCTGTCGCTAGCTAACTGTAGCAAGCTAGTTAGTTGTAGGTAGCTAGCTGTAGCTAGCTAGTTGTAAGTAGCTAGCGGCAGCTAGCTACAGCTATCCGCGCCTTCTGCAACAGCTATCCGCGCCTTCTGCATGCGAGGGCCCCTTATATGCTGTTGTATTGTCTTTTGTTTGTGCTGCTGAAAGGAGACAGAGAGACAGCAAAGAAAGAAACCAGCTAAGAGACAGGAGACACAATCTCTAAGGCCCAAGCAGCAGAGACATGCTTAGCATCGGTGCATGTGCAGCATGCCTCTCAGTAGCAGCAGCAGCAGCAAGTAGCAGCAGCAGCAGCAGCAGCATTTCCTCTTGCTGCTGAGGCTGCTGCTTAATACAACTTCTCTAGAGACACCCCCTTCTCCCAGAAGGAGACAGTTTAGCCTCTTGAGTAGAACAAATTATCAAAGATAGCTTCACCTGGCTTTGTTTGTTTTAGGTCTTTGTCTGGTGTCTCTCTGTCTTTAGAGACAGCATTAGCTGTCTCTTTAGAGACAGTTAATGCTGTCTCTAAAGAGACAGCTAATGCTGTCTCCGAGTGTACGTTTTGTCTCTAAATAGGCAGCACCAGCTGTCTCCTTTGTCTCTAAAGAGACAGCAGCATCTGTCTCTCTATACGCGCTGTCTTTAAAGAGACAGCACCAGCTGTCTCCTTTGTTTCCAAAGAGACAGCATCAACTCTTGCTGCTGCTGCTGTGTCTCTAAGGAGACACCTGATGCTGTTTCCCTAAAGACACAACGAGCTGCTGCTGTGTCTTCATGGAGACAGCTGCTGCCGTGTGTATATGGAGACAGTTGCTGCTGCTGTCTCTAAAAAGGCAGTTGCTGCTGCTGTCTCTAAGGAGACAGCCGCTGCTGCTGTCTCCTCAGCGACAACAACAACAGCAACAACAACAACAGCAACAACAGCAGCAGCAGCAGCAGAAGCAGGTGTCTCCTTAGAGACACAAGAGCAGTCTACAAGCCAGCAGCAGCAGATATCTCCTTTAAGAGCAAGTATTGTTGTTTTAACAAACTTTACATAAAGGCTGTATGTGAAGACATTTCTTGTGAGGCTGCATTAGCAGCACCTTCAGAAGAAGCTGTCTCGTCTGGAAGGAGACAGTTAGTGTTTTGTGCAGGAGACAGCTGCACGCCGCATGCATTGGGCACTGAGACAAACAAACACAAAAAAAACACAAAAGGAATACCAGCTGTACGTACACCTCAATTAATGCATGCAGTCTTCTACTGCTGCCTTATTTTTTATTGCATGCATTTTTATATATGCATATATCTGTATAGATGTTTATACACTTTTCTAAATATAAATCTATATATTCACATCTATATTTATCCATATATATATATATACATATATTTATATAGACAGATGTATGATATATATATATATATATATGCATGCAGATGCATACAAATGTATATATTCGCAGGCAAATGCAAAGTACATCAATATACAAATACGCATATATATTTATGTATAGGCATATATATATATAAATGCATATATATAATATAACTACATCAATAAATATATATATTATATATTATATATATGCAAAGGCATTTCGAGGGGCTGCATGCACTGGGGCCAACAGAACAAAGCAGAAAAACTGCTGGCGCAGCAAACTGAGACATTCAAAGAAAATAAATATAATATAAATATAATATATAAAAATATAATTTATATAATATATAAATATATATTAAATTAAATATATATATAATATTTACACAACGCCAATATTATGCATGTTATACATTATATACCTAGTACGTACGCATATTGCCTAGTACATATATATATATATATATAATATAATATATATATACATATGTATATATATATACATATGAATATATTTATATTTATATATATAACGCCTATATTTTATATATTATATCTATTTAATATATAGTATAGATATTATACTACATATAATATATAAAAATATAAAAAAGTAAAGAAATCAAGCTGCATGCATCTTACTGGAGGCGGAGGAGTTGAGTGCAATAGGATGGCTAAGGCTGCTTGCAGAGGACTGGGACAGCGGCGGCTGCTGCTGTTGCTGCTGCTGCTGCTGCTGCTGCTGCATATGAGGGGGCAAGAGGTTAGGAGGCAAAGTAGAAGGAAGCTCAAGGCCCTGCAGCTTCATTTCTATAAAACGACGAGCTAAAGAATATTCATACAAATCCAAATACCCGTCTCGAGTGCAATCCGCCAAATTCCAAACTCTGAGCCCCACACACAAATCCATGCATGCATGCATGCATGCATGCATGCAGATACAATGTATGCATGCATGCATGCATGCATGCGTACATCCGTACATATACGATTCATGCATGCATGCAAATACAATTCATGCATGCATGCAGCTAGGCATGCAAATAGAGTGTATCGGTCCACGGAAGCAAATACAAGGCACGCATGCATGCAGATACAGTGCATGCATGCAGATACAGTGCATGCATGCATGCATGCATGCACCGTATTGGCCCCGATACAGGTAAAGAAAGAAGACCTGAGAAGAAACCATCCCCAGCCTGCGGAAGCCTCCGCCCCCCACCGAGGGTTTAAAGATTAGGGTTTAGGGTTTAGGGTTTAGGGTTTACCTGTGGAGGATGCCGCTGGGGAGTTTGCTTTTAACTAAATCCACTTTAGCCTGAGCCCCGTCGATGCGGCCCAATGCGTCAGGCCCCATACGTTCAAAGTCCTAAGAAGAACGTAAGTACTTATGCACGCATGCAGTTGCATGCATTCATGCAACTGCATGCGGTGTGATCTGCATGCATCTGCATGCATGCAGATCGGCTCGCGTT